CCACCCTTGGTGGATTGGACCCAAGCCCAGTGTCATTTGGGGTCCTGGTGTAAATCACAAAACACATGGGTCCTTAACTGCAATTTTAGCCTTTTTTTATATGATTGGCAAAAACGGAGGGAACAGTTACGGAGGAGGCAGTTTTTCTGTTTTTTGAACATTTGGAACGTGCAGTTAAGTGGGAACCGGATGGTCAGTTGGACGCACGACTACAGTTTCCTTTTCTCTCCAAAAAAAACTCCTTCCTCTGTTCTCTCTTCTTCACCTTCTCCCAGTGTGTATTTGCTGTGTCTCTTAAATCCGACTCCACCCCCGTGATCGGATCTCCGCGTGGCAACCTGACCTTATTGCAGACTCCAGGTATGCCCGAAAACCTACAATAATTTATTCCTTAAAGTATCCCAATTAATCACACATGTCAAGGGGCTTTCATTCAAGTTAGTCATGATTAAGAAATTTTTAAAAAATCAACTCATATTTGTGATAAATAACCAACTTAATTAATTTTTTTAATCTATTCAAATTAGTTAAATAACTTTTATATTAAAGAACGGAGGCATTATTAGTGCATAGACTTTGATCTTCTAATCCAACTCTAATATTTTGAAGCTCAAATGTATTTAGGAATTGCCCCTCCTAAGTCCTAACCAAAGGTTCTATCTAGGCCAGGTTAGGAAATCATATTCTGTTTCTGAAATTGTTGCTGGTGTTTAATTTTCAAGGACATATTTGATCACGCAAGAAGACGCATGGGATGATAAAGAAAAAAGGGGAAGTCGTATTGTGCATCATCGTAGTGTTGATATGTTGAAAAATCTACTGGGGACGATACTGCATTTTCAAATTCACGTGCGATGCCGATGACAATTTGGGCTTTGGGAAGTGGGGGGATCTTTGGAAGCATCTCACATGTTTGTATTAATATACAATAATAATGGTCCACTGACCACTCCTGCTGCTCTTCATCACTATCCCAACTCTGAGCCATTGGGACCAATCTAATCTTTTATTTTTGGTCACTTTTCCCCTCACGCCTCTAATTTTGATGACATTTTCTTTCCCCATATGCTTTGCCATTAAGTTTAGCGAAAGGAATCAATTTCTCACAACGATATAATGAACTAATGTTTGAATTCTTATTGGGATGTGTCTATATTTAATACTTGATAATGTTTTGAGCAAGCCTCAATTAAAAGGATACATGTACTTAATAAAAAAAACAAGTGAATCAAAGTAAGTAAAATCTAAAATGAGTATGTGAAAGATCACGTGTTCTTCAAAGTTGAAAACAATGTGCAGATTATCCTCTTTTGAAGATGATATTTGTTCTCACTATATATTTACATGGCAAATTGATTGACCTATCATACTTTTCTTGGATTAAAATGGTGTTTTCTTATCCGCCTATGTTACGTGATACTGTCGTTTTCAAAGTACCTCAACCAGCACAATCCTTTGATATGCAATGTTAGGATGCCTTGTTAACATCTGGCTACAAATAGACCTACCATGTTTATGTCGCTGATCAAGTGATAGTGGATTTTTATGCTGTTCATAGATTACACACACATTAAGGTTCATGTTGCGTTAATAACACAACCTCTTACATTTTTATAGTAATAATTAATATAGTGAGTAATAATAAATGATATCGATATTGTCAATCAACAATAAATAACATGGTATTAAAATCCAACATCACTTGGAATGGTCATATCTGTGGATGGATGAATTAGCTTCATTTTGAATGAATTAGCTTTATTACTAGTTCGATTAAGAGTTTTGAATGAGTCCGCTAAGTCATATTTTATATTTGTTTTCTCTCTTTACTAATCCTAAGACATCATTTTGAGTTTAGAAAACAATAATCTATAGTAATTTTTAATGCTATATATAAATAGTTAGGAAAATGACAGATAAAAAAAAACTGAAATTAGGATATCCCAATTTAACAAGTTAAGGGTTGAAATGACAAAAAGAAAAGTTATTCCCAGATTAAAATTTTGAAATTCAGGACAAAAGACAAAATGACCCATTTGTTTGTTTTTTTTTTCCCCAAAGGTTCAACCCCTTGTCGGCAACTGGACGTCGATGCCGGCTACCAGCATTGGCCACTGGTGTGGGGGCTACCCGCAAAGCTTTTTTTTGCGACAGATTTTTTTTTGCCATGTGAGAAATTATTTAAGGAAAGTGGTGGGGCGATTTGATCCTACTATTCTTTCATTTGGGCCAGGAAAAAAGAAGGTGACCACTAAGCCACCACCACTAAGCCACCAATGATTTGCTAGTCTTAAGTTTAAATTTGTTATTTTCCAATCAAAACTTGTTATTCCTAGATAAATTGTTGTAAACAAGTCAACTTATATATACCTTTTTTTTTTTTTGCATAATAAGGTTGGCAAATCATTAGTGGCCTAATATCATCTTTCCTTTTATTGACTCAAATGATCAAGGGGTAGTGGGATCAAATCCTACCCCCACTGTTTTCCTTAAATAATTTCTTACATGGCAAAAAAATCTGTCACAAAAAAAAACTCTACCGGCAACCACTGATGCCACTTTCCTTAAATAATTTCTTACATGGCAAAAAAAATTTGTCACAAAAAAGAAAACTCTGTCGGCAGCCACCACACCGGTGGCCCATGCTGGCGTCCAATCACCAGCTGTAGCCAGACACCGGCAAGGGCTCGAACTTTTTTAAAAAAAAAAAAACAAAGGAGCATTTCTGTCTTTTCTCCTAAATTTTAAAATGGGAGAATTACAATGAGGTCCTATACAAGAAAAAAATTATAAAACAAGTCCCATAGATTGTTATTCTTTACTCTAGACTTGTCATTACAAACTGTTCAAGTTGTTATTAGATTTTTTAGTAGTTATTTCTCGTGCATGGGACTTGATTATAATTCTCTCTTTTAAAATTCTAATTTGGGACTAACTTCCCTTTCTATTATTTTCAACCCTTAATTTCAAGTTTCTTTATTTGTTATTTTCCCTAAATATTTTTATATTTTGATTAAATTATACTATTTTAACTAAGATTGGGTATTTTTGATAAATAAAAAGGGTTAAGAAGGACAACGACAGGATAGACTGAGGACCAAGAATTCGCATGCGTGGATGTGCCTGAATTGCATGTCTTGAAAATGGCGCATGCAGATTGCAGAGTGCAGACGGAACTCGCCGACAAATATCTCCGGGGACTGAACTAGTCTATTGCAAAAATACCCCCACCTTTATTTCAAAATGACAACCCAAGTCCCTCCAATCATTAACCAGATTGCATGCCAGTCTTTGACTTTCATCACCTCATTCTTACTACTTCAATGATACTCCTCCGGTCCTTAATATAGGATCCATTTAACTAATTTGATTATATTAAAGAAGTTAGGTAAATTAGTTAATTATGATATAAGTGACACATTTTTCCTAAAATACCATAATCATCTTTCTTAATACCCCATCTTCCTCTTCTACTTGATTATGGTTGAGGGAGTATCCATAGGGGTAATTTAGAGAAAATTGATAAATATGAGAAATGGGTCTTATATTTAGGACAAAAACCAACTCAAAAATTAGGTCCTATATTAAGAATCGGAGGAGTATTAATATTACGTTTGCGTGCAATATCCTACCCCTAGTTAGTTTAATTTTCAATTTAATTTTAAATATAAGATTTTAATTTATTTAATTTATTATATTTAATCTATTTTTTTAAAATAATTCTTACAGTAAGTACATATGTTAAATATTTAATTAATTAGTAGTTTTAACTAATATATATAATTAGTAAAAATTTAACTCATATTTATTATAAATAACTAAATTAACAAATTTTTTTAATCTATTCAAATTAATTAATTAGTTTTTATATTAAAAACATGTAGTATTAACTGATAATAATTAGGTGTTCAAATGTCTGCCTCTCTGGAGTTCGAACGTTTTCTTTTCCTAATTGCGATTGTCCGATTTTGGGCGATCTCGTAATCTTTCTTGATTACGACGTTATCGGATCATGAGTGTCCTTTTTTATTTTTAATAAAAAAGTGTGTGCGTGTGTGTGTGTATTTTATTTTGTTCTTATGCCGAATTTAATAATTTAATTCTTTTAACTATGTTTCCTCAGAGAAATTTAACTGAGTTATTTATATAACATTCGACAATAGTGAAGAACTCAAAAGTCCTTCGACTCAATGACCCTAACTATTTTTTAAAAAAAATCTTTCTTAAATATGTACTTAGAAGTTTAACTCTCCTCATGAGAGATGCATATGTAAATTCTCTCGAAAGATGACTAAAAAAAAATGAAAAACATACATAATGCTCTACAAGAAAATACCTACCAACAATAGTTTAGTTTTTTTTTCCCACAGCCAGCAATAACAAGTTTATGGTCATAAATCCTTAAAATACGATAATCAAGATGTTATAATTAGGACCAGATATAGTATTTCTTTATAGTTCTCATAAACATATATTAGTATACTAATAAATTCATAACAATCCTAATCAGTTAATTAAGCGATGTTCTAAAATTCATGTCAATTTATTAAATAACTAAGAAGACACAAATAATCTGGGCCCCAAAGGAGAGAATCAGCCCCCAAAAAAAAAAGAGAAAAGTACAACTACCTCCCCCATCTACCATTATAATACAAGTGTTTAAAAATTTAATTTGGTCTTAAATACAAAAATTTAGCTTGTTTTATTTTATATTTTCCTCCAAATATCTTTATTCATAGTTAGAGATTCTGAGAGTATTTTAGAAAAGTTAACATATATTTATTAAAAATAAGTAATTTAGTTAATTTTTTTTTAAATTTTTTTAAGTTAATTATCTGGCTCTTAAAATTGAAATAGTATTATCCATTAATTAATGATGGAAAGATGCATAAAATGAAATAAGGATGCGTTGTCGTGCCTATCCGGTTAATCAAAAGGGACGTCAGACAAGAAGGGCCCTATATAAAGTCAAGCTTCTCACTCACCTTCTTCCATTCTTTACAGTACCGGAATCACACACACACACACACACACTCTCTCTCTGTTGAAGATGGAGACCGGAGGTTACAGTCGTCCATGGTTGTGGCTGTACTTGGTGGCGCTGATCCAGTGCTTGGCGGCTGCATCCGAGGTTAATGAGGCTGCAATTCCGGCGAGCAAAGTAAAGTTCGATACCGGAGGGCTGAGCAGAGAGAGCTTCCGGCAGGGGTTCGTGTTCGGAACGGCGACGTCGGCATATCAGGTGGAGGGTATGGCCCAAAAAGACGGGCGTGGTCCCAGCATTTGGGATGTTTTCGCCAAGAAACCAGGTATTATTTTCATTGTCAAATCTCATACGTTTATTGCAAATGGCATTAAAGAACTTCAAACCAATTTGCTTTTTAAAAATGCAGAGCTACAAAACATTTATCCAATCAGCCAATAATGAGTGATAAAATAGTATGTTTACGTCTTAGCCAGGGGATGATATCCCATAATAAGCTGTTATGAGTACTCATTAGTCCCACATCGTTTAGATTCGAAAAGAAATCTCGGTGATGGGTTTCAAGTTTTTGTGAACAGTCACCTTGAAAGAGACCATATATCTCTTCTGCTCTAGAGGGAAGGGCAGACGGCAGAGGAGGAGTTTTTTCAAATAGTTTTAATTTTTTTAAAAAAATAAATAAATGGGGTTATAAAGTTTTAGTACATAAAACTTAATTAAAAATTTTGGACCTCACTAATCTAATAGTAGTATTTTAGAATCAAACTTGTTTTAAAAATTTTCCTCAATGGGAGGTTAAGATTCTAGATTAAGAAAAATAATCAAATGCATCAATTTTTTTTATTTAAAGAATGATGTTTCCGAAGGGAAAAGATTTTGATTTTTAATATCCCTCAATTTATTTTACTTAGAGTTACGAGCAAGACTATAATTTTAAAAAGAGAGCAATTGATGGTAATTTAAACTCTTAAAAAGACAGGTAAATAAAAGTAAGTTTTTTTTTAAATTTTAATAAAAGAACATATAAAAAATTATAAAAATATAATGTTAGCTGAATTTTCAGGATTAGTATATCAATATATTAAAAGAATCACATGTGTGATATAGTAGTCTATGATTATAATTTGCATTTCATTTAAATCCCTATAATTAATGATTTAATTTGTGGTCGGCGAGCAGGAATTGTTGCGAATAATGGCTCAGCGGATCTCTCGGTGGATCAGTATCATCGCTATAAAGTAAGTCTTTTCAACATTATAATAAATGGGAGGGATTGTCCTTCAATAATATAAAAAACTGAATTTAACCTCAATTCTTTAATATTAAACTCTGGAGATACCATATGTCCCCTTGTAGATTCCGATCTCTATGAATCGTTACTTTTCCTTAAAAAATGATGAAAGCGAAGCTGATTATCTAGTGACTGCAATTGTAATTGACATCGTTGGTCCAAATAATACTCCACGTTGGGACTAATGAAAAGACATTGCATAAGTTAGAACAGCATCATTCAAGTTCACGGACACTTGGTGCCTGATGAAAGATTCTAATGCCACTTAAGCAGTGTGTAACTGAAATCAAATTATAATTTTAAGAATAATTTTACAGTATATGAAAAAAAAATATGTGAAAGGAGTTTTGTTTCAATTTACATAAAAACACTTATAAAAGTTTTTTTTCATTTATCCAAACACTGCCTTACTTTATATATATTCTCTTTCAGAACTTCAAACACTGTACTTTTCTTTTTTAACCAATGCCTAGTGGATGTTTTTTTTATAAAACACACACACTCTCCTTCTGCTTCTTAATATATGATAATATATAAATTTGTTAGATATTAAGTTTGGTTCTACTAAATATAAAATTGTAATCCATTTTGTTTATCACTTTTTCCTAAGCTAATTTATTTAGGTCATAAACTGAACATAAGATTATCTTTAAGAGATCAAACCATATTTGTTATAATTAACTACTTTATCTTATTTTTTTCCTACCTCCATTATAAAATAAGTCTTCTTTTTAGGAATGGAGGAGTGACTCTTGTATTGACACTAAGAGGTAGCATATTATATTGGTTCTAGTCAAATCATGGTTTTGATCAAATCAATGAAACTAGAGTAATTTTGTCTTAGAAGTTATGAAATCACTTCTTCACTCGGTTACTAAAGAAGCACTAAAATCTGTTTACAACCCCCCCCCCCAACCCGGGGGGGCCAGGGGGGAGAAGCACTGAAATCTTCCCTTATGACTTGGAGTGATGTCGAGAAATAAGATTGAGGACACGTTGGCAACCCAAAAAAAAGAAGAAAAAAAAGATTGAGTACACTGCATTAACTATGTTTACTTTCACAGGAAGATGTGGACCTCATGGCTAACCTAAATTTCGATGCTTACCGGTTCTCAATTTCATGGTCCAGAATTTTCCCAAGTAATTCTTCATTCCATTGCTGCAATTCTGTATTATTAAACAATGCAAACCAATAATAACGTCGAAGAGGCCTTCTGATGATAATTGAACCCACCACTTTTGCAGATGGAACTGGCCAAGTAAATTGGAAAGGAGTCGCTTACTACAATAGGTTGATCGATTACTTGCTAAAACGAGGTAAACTTGGGATCAAATCTATAAGACTTGCATACATGTGCTCACTTGTTAATATCAATTTTAATGTTAACTTTTCATGCGTGACATTTCTGAAACCTGATCAGGCATTACTCCATATGCAAACTTGTACCATTATGACCTTCCTTTGGCTCTTGAGTTGAGATACAAAGGACTATTGAGCCGCCAAGTTGTGTGAGTCCAGTAGTATTATGTATTCTATTGTGCTTCTACTTAATTGCATAGTCGGAACTGATATATCTGATCAAAGCTTCCAATATTGTACAGAGAGGATTTTGCAGATTATGCAGAGTTTTGTTTCAAGACTTTTGGAGACAGAGTGAAGAACTGGATGACATTTAATGAGCCCAGAGTTGTAGCTGCTCTTGGTTATGATAATGGCTTCTTTGCTCCTGGAAGGTGCTCAAAAGCTTATGGGAATTGTACTGCTGGTGATTCTGGTACCGAGCCTTACATTGTAGCGCACAATTTGATATTATCACACGCAGCTGCAGTTCATAGATACAGAACCAAGTACCTGGTAATGCTAAGAAACTTTTAAATGGAGAAAACTTATAGGGCGCTGGAAGATTCCTAATGCAGTAATGAACCTGGTTGTTTCAGGAAAAACAAAAGGGAAGGATTGGAATTCTTTTGGATTTTGTATGGTATGAGAATCTTACAAGATCAAAGGCTGATAATTATGCAGCTCAGAGAGCTAGAGACTTTCATCTTGGATGGTAAAAGCCTTAAGAATCTGTATATGAGGCATTTGTAGCAAACTCCTTTCCCAGGTTCTAAAAATCTGTAGTTACATTGTTCAAATTCATGCAGGTTCCTTCATCCTATTGTGTATGGTGAGTATCCTAAGACCATCCAAAACATTGTTGGGAAAAGGCTTCCTAAGTTCACTCAGGAGGAAGTCAAGATAGTGAAGGGCTCCATTGATTTTGTCGGCATCAATCAATACACTACTTACTACATGTATGATAACCATCAACAAGAACCAAAAGTCCCAGGCTACCAAATGGATTGGCATGCAGGATTTGCTTGTAAGATCACCTTCCCTTCACAATTTTTCTTTAATAATTTCAGGCTATTTTAGTTATTAATATTGATTTTCTCATGTATATTGCAGATGCAAAGAATGGAGTTCCTGTTGGTCCAAGAGTGAGCTTGATTCCAGTAACAGATTTGCCTTATAATTTCACTGATCATGCAGTATCTCTGATATAACTGGAAAATTTGCAGGCAAACTCATATTGGCTCTACAATGTGCCATGGGGCATGTACAAAGCATTGATGTATGTCAAGGAACGTTATGGAAACCCTACTGTCATCTTATCTGAAAATGGTAAGTGAAAGCCAGATATTGCTTCTAGTTTTACCGATTTCTACCAATTGTTTGAATGGGAAGAAAAATAGAGAGAAAAGAATACTAGAAAGGAAAACTCCCAAAAATGGTTAACTTTTTAATCTGTGATGAGTTTATCATTCGTAGGCATGGACGATCCGGGTAATGTAACACTTGCCAAGGGGCTGCATGACACCACAAGGATCAATTACTACAAAGGTTATTTGACACAGCTAAAGAAGGCAGCTGATGAAGGAGCAAATGTGGTTGGTTACTTTGCATGGTCCTTGCTTGATAACTTTGAGTGGAGATTAGGCTACACTTCAAGGTTTGGCATTACCTATGTTGATTTCAAAACCCTCAAGAGATACCCAAAGATGTCTGCATATTGGTTCAAGCAGCTTCTCACCAGAAAGAAGCAGTAAGCAGAACCAACAAGTTAATTGAATCCTAGTTTCATTTGTATTGGTGAGCGCTTTTATGAAAATGTAATCACTTGACTATGTCAATGATCAATGCTAGTCTTGGAATAAAATGAAGTTGTTGTCTGCTTTAACTAATATTTCTGTGATGCGTAGTTTGTTCAGACTGTTGAAAACTGTATTAATACGTACCCAGAAGAAAATGATGAGGTTAATGAACAAACTGAGGGGGAGATAACAGAGAGTTCGGTTCAATAAATTATCTCTTAAGGTTAGTTTATGACAACTGAGACTTGTTGCATTGGAAAAGAGAAGACATTGAATAAAAAGAATTTAAGAAGTCAATATGGCAATGCACTCCTGTTGTCTTACTCTCCGTTTTTCTTTTTCTTTTTCTTTTTTGGATCGATATAAAGCTTGGCTTTGGATCAAAGTCTTATTCTCTGCTTTAACAACACAGGAGTACTCAAAAAATTCAAGTCTAACATGTTCGGATATCTGCTGGTCTTAATGTAAAGATAGATGTGTGATGAAAGAAAGGGAAAAACATTTTGCGAGTATTTATAACTTTCATCAAATCTTATGTTAGTACTTATAATTTGATACGTATATGTTTAATGTACTTTTTTCCTTTTAATTAAATACTTTAAGTTTGCATTGTTAGTCTTTATAACTATACTCTGTTAGTAGTGTTAGCTTCTATGAAAAAAAAAAAGAAAAAAAAAACTAACAATACTAATAGAGTTTAATTAAGAAGAGAAGTATACAGGTGCCAAATTAATAATTAAGAAAAACTGCAAAAAATGATTTTTGTCAAAGTTGTAAAATCTCACTTCCGGTAGTAGAAAAGTAAACACCTACTAAAGATTCATACACAGACTCCAATCAGTCATGAAAGTGTTCATCATCAATTGAAAAAACATAACAAATTAATTTTTGAAGTTGTTTTACTGCATTGTTTTAATTAGAATTTCCATCAAGTTAAAACTAAATAGATTAAATGAGGATTCAATTTATTACTGAGTATCACATTAATTACGACGATTGTTAATTTGGGAACAAGCAAAGAATAAACTAGTAACATTTCGATTCCCCCTAATTTTGAGTAATTGCACGCCTCTAATACTCTGTTTGGATAAGTAAAAAAGTTCGCAAGAAAGAAAATAAGAAGAGAAAAAACTGGAGAAATCTTTACCACATCTCATGTTTGGATAAAGGTGAGAAAATAACGAGAAAAGACAATGAGCAAATATTTTTATAGGCTCTAATAATCTAATAAATCCTACGTCAACCTCAATTATTTGACCTACAGAACTTCGGTGACCCGACTTGAATCTGTACCCAGCATGCTATCTCCTCTATTCTCCTATTCAATTTTTCTGACATTGGCAATCATCAATATAAAACATAAAATACTCCTCCGGTCCTTAATATAAGACTTATTGAACTAATTTGATTAGATTAAGGAAGTTAGGTAAGTTAGTTAATTATAAGAAAAATGACACATTTTTCCTAAAACACCATAATCATCTTTCTTAATACCCCTCTCCTTCTTCTACTTGATTATGATTGAGGGAGTATCATGAGGGTAATTTAGAGAAAATTGATAAATATGAGAAATGGGTCTTATATTTAGGACCAAAACCAACTCAAGAATTGGGTTTTATATTAAGGACCGGAAGAGTATATAACGAGTTACATGATTTATCAAAAATTTAATTAATTAGTAGCTTAATGAGTTAAAATCAATTTCTATTTTGGATTTCAGAAAACTAAATCATATATATTGCTTTGAGTGAGAAATTATAAAAAGGGTTCTCACAAAAGTTACTCATTGTGTCTCTCTACTTCCCGTAAACAATCTATAAATTCGTCATTCACAGATTCACTCGAATGCTTTTAACTTGTTGATGGGACCATCAAATTGCACCCTGTCATCACAAAGATTATAACCTTATCATATGATCATCGGAATGTGGAATTTCATCATATTTCCAGCAAAGTTATTCGATGTGCCAAGTATTTGGCCTGAGAAGGATACATTGACTCCTTTAAAATATTAATTTTTGACGTATGAAAAAGTTTAGACAGGTTAGATCCCAGAGCTAATGAGAATTAGAATATACTTCTAAACTTAAAAGGTATTTATAGAAGTACTTACAGATCATCTACCAACAAAGTCAGCAGTGGGATTCGAACTCACAATTTTATAAATTATAAGTCAATTTCTTATCAACTTGACTAACTTTAGATAAAAGCAGAATAGTTAAACTAGTAAATGTAACTTTTATAGTTGATGTAGGTGTACACTTTGGAAAGATACATTAAACATTCAAAATTCTCATTCGACTATTGAGAAAATAAAATACAGTATATCGTATCTATTTATGTATATGTATTATTTTCTCTAATATAATGTAAAATAAATTATTCATGCGCAATAATCATATTCAAAATTTAATTTAAAATAAATATTTATTTTGAAGATAAAGTAATATATTATCTATTTTAAAACTTAACTCCAAAAAAATCGGAACTCTGAAAGTTTCAAATAAACAAAGAAATAAAAAATTGGTTTAAGTTAGTTTTAAATACTACTTCTGGTCCTTAATATAAGACTTCATTTAATATTTATTTTGGTCATAAATATAAGATTCTAATCCACTTTGTTTCTCATATTTATGTATTTTTCTCTAATATAGTTTTTCTAATAATAATAGTTCTAGTCAATACATTTAATAAACAAGAATGTTTTTTTTAAAAATATCTATTTATTATAGGAAAAATTCTAAAAAAAGCCCTTGGAATATAAGAAATTTCAGATTGGGTTCTGGAATTGTGTAAATGACAGAAAGGGTCAATGACCCAATCTGTCATTTGTAAAATCAAGAGAAATGGACAATTTTGCCCGCATTTGTGTTCATTCACTATAATGAATCATTATAAGAGTTTAGGCGTTACCTAGATTCGTACAAAGAATAACTACTCACTTTTTCGTAGTTAGATGCCTTGTTATTAACTACAACTAATCATGTAATCACAAGAACAGTATAAACGTTACCTAGATTCGTGTAGAGAATAACTACTCACTTTTTCATAGTCAGGTATCTTGTTATTAACTACAACTAATCATGTAATCACTAGAATAGTGTAAGCGTTATCTAGATTTGTTAGACAATAACTACTCATATTTGCTTAGCTAGGGTAAAATTATCAATTCCTCTTGATTTTACAAATGACAGATTGGGTCATTGACCCTTTTTGTCATTTACATAATTGTAGGACTCAATCTGGAATTTCATATATTCTAAGGACTTTTTCTGGGATTTTTTTATTATAAATAACTAATTTAATTTATTTTTTTAATGTATTTAATTTAATTAACTAGTTATTATATTTAATTTAGTACAGGAGGTAATATTTGAAAAGAAATAAGCAAGGTCGGTTTATTTGGGAATCTCTCTTTACCCAACAATGCGAAGGCCCAAATCTCAACCCAAACAAGCATCCGTCTCGTTCTCGCGCCTCCTAATGCGTCAAGAAATCATCCCCCAGCAGACTTCCGTTGCAATGCCGCGAAGCGCTCGCAAAGCTCAATTCAAGCTTCCCCAGACAACTATAGCGCTCCCTCTCCCTCTCTACGTCCTCCAATTCTCCGTACTTCTCTGCAAAACCCTAGTTTCTGCTTTGTAGCCTCTCCCTTGCAACGCGCAATGGCTCCTCGTGCCGACGAGTGCGACGAAGATGAGCTCTCCTCCAGCGAAGACGATGACAGCTTCAATGAGGACTTGGAAGCTCTCGCACGAGCCTGCAAGATCGCCGGCACCAACCCTGATGACCTTAAACCCACTTCTACCGACGGTCCCGACGATGAGAACGCAGACGCAGTGGTTCCGAAAGCTCCTGACCCGCTGTTGGGCCCGGGCGATGCTCTCGTTCCTGTGTCAGACTCGGACGACGAGCAGAGTGACCTTCAGTATCTTAAAAGAGTACAGGAGCGTTACCAGCCTTCATCTCTCAAGCCATTGAATGTTCTTCCAGCGTTTTCTCTGTCTGATGACGAGGAAGATGATGTGGAGTTACTCCAGGCTATTAGGAGACGCTTTGCCTCCTATGATAGAGGTAGGCTGCTTGTGAAACAAGTTTATCTTTCCAAATACTGATGCCAAATGAGTTCTGTCAGGGGAAACATCTTGAACTTTTCTCTCCTTATATTGTTTTGGGCTAATTGATAGGTGCATTGAACATTTTCAGATGACAACAAATGATTCTTACGTTACTCATCATGGCTTTGCTGGTCCAGTCATATTTTCTTTACTGACTTAGCTGACTTTTACTCTTGTATGTTTGGCTGTTGAGTTTTGTAATGTTTGGCCATAGTGTGTAGTTGTTATGTTTTATTGTTTAGATTATATTATTATGTCTACTTATGTCCATTCATCTTTTCTGAACCCTTTAGAATAACGTTGGATTCTAATAATATCAGGCCCTGATGAAGATAATGAGGATAAAATGGCTCAGGGAGCTCATACCTCCGGTCCAGGCTCTGAGGAGGAATATGATAACAGCGTGACATTTAAGGGATTAGAGCCCGGTGAATCATGCCCTGTTTCTCAGGATGCTATTAAGACCACCAGTTTATTGACTGGTGATGGTGAGAGACATCCTTTTAACATCAACGAGAGGTGTAAACCCGAGGCTTGCAAGTCATCCAAGTTATCGGACAAAGGATCAAACTTTCCTTTGTCTGCTCAGGTTCTTTTTGATGCAATAAAAAAGAATAGATCTTTCCAGAGGTTACTTCGAAGTAAGTTGATTCAGATGGAAGCAAAAATTCAAGAAAACAGACAGCTAAGGGAAAGAGTAAAACTTCTTAAAGAGTTTCAGGTTTCTTGCATAAGAAGAACAGGGCAAGCTATATCACTGAAAAAGGATCCCCGTGTCCTTTTAATATCAATAAGAAAGTCTCCTGCTGCAAGTAGCACGAAGGTGGGTTGAAAAATATCATCTTTGAATTTTTTTTTTTTTAAATTTTTTTATTCCTGAACTCCAAAGCTTGTGTTGTAGTTTATGTAAAGAAATTGTTGGGTGTGTATTAATGGCTGAATGACTAGTTGCTGGGTTTTGCTTATTCTAAATATTGTTTAATGAAATTGCAGTAACTCCTTTAAGTTTCTGTTTCCAATATGTTTGTCGCTTGTTTCCATTATTGAATTTTATTTGGATAAGTAAAAAGGGATTGATAGAAGATCTAATGGTTGGTCATAATGACCGCATAAATGGGAAGAGAACATATTGAATGCGCTTTGGTTAGTGAAAACATTATAAACTACACAGGATGAGTGTTTATTAATCTACCTGTAATTAATTTACTGCATGGTATTTTATTATTATTATTATTATTTTGGATTGGGTTTTCCTTAAGCTTGCCTTTTTATGGACAGAGGCAATTCTCGATTCTAAGATTTTTATTTTCATTTTTTTACAGATTAATGATAAAAAAATATCTCCAATGTGTTATGGCCCAGCTGAGAATGCTCATGTTGCTAAATATAGGATGGTGTTGGAACGATCTCCATTCTCATTGGATAGGAAAAAATGGTCTAATGTGGAGAGGGAGAATCTTGCTAAGGGAATAAAGCAACAATTTCAAGAAATGGTGCTTCAAATGTCAATGAATCAAGACAGGTAATGTTACTTCTTTTTTTCTCATGTATGTTGCAGTGAAGACTTGATGGCTTTAGAAATTATATTCGTGTTCAGAACATGTGTTTTAGTCACAATCTATACCTCTTGAACTGTGTATACTTGCTTTATATCTCAGTTTCACTGCTCAGTTTTTTTTTTCTTTTAAAAGATTAATATTATAAGTTAGAAATCATGAAACACGAACACGTACATGGCAATATCAGACAATCTGAAGCCTTCGTATGTTTTGCTTTAGTCTCCTTTTTTTGGTATGTGTTTTGTAGCTTTGAATCCAGCATTTTAACCATGCTTTGCAAGTCCTCATGCATATTATTAAAAATAATACATTCTAGTAGAGAGTAATGGACGACTAATCTATGAATGTTACATTCCATTATATGTTAGAATAAAAAGCATGGATATGATTCAATCATTTGTTTAAACAGAAGAATTTTATATTTTGTAAAACAACATATTGTTTTGAGCCCATTTCATGCCAGCACTGGAGAATTTACTGTATTAGCACGTCAGCACAAGGAACGCAGATGCATGCATTAGAAAGTGCATCATTTGATCTTTCTCCTTTTCCTCAATTGTAATTTTCTTACCTCCTTGACAGTTCAGGGTGGTTGTGTGAATATGCGGATAACTTTGATACCATACTTGCATCTATTAAAGATCTTGAGATTACGCCTGAGAACATTAGAAAGTTTCTGCCTAAATTCAATTGGGATCAGTTGGCTTCCAAGTATGTTGTTGGTCGTACAGGTGCAGAATGTGAAGCAAGGTAAAGAGTTTATCAATTTGTAAGCTTCAATTTTTTTTCCTGGAAATTTAAATGCTTTTATTCATGTGGAGCTTGATATTGATGAAAACATAGTTCTGGTTTTATATTATTCACTATTAAGTTTGTTAGATGTCCTATGTTTCATAGGCGGGAAAAGAGTTTGAGCATATATCTGCAAGAAATTATTTTTAAAAAAAATCTTATCCTGATTGTACCATTCTGCTTGCTCTCCTGCGTTTAAGAATTGTGCCGACTCAGTCTGTTACTAGAAAAATGCGGACAAAACTTAATGACAATATGTTTTTATGGGCTTTGTCATGGTTGAGTTTACCAAAGTTGGTTCTATAGTAGAATATTTGTTAAAGAAAAGATGAAAGGAACTTATTTCTCATAGGAAAAACAAGTAAAATAGACCAATGGCTTCTGTCTCTTCTTATTTATAGGCAGCAATGAGAAACTTAGTCATCAATGTTAAGAGAATTGGACCAGATGACCTGTTCAAATAGAAACCGAATGTGCTGGGCTGTAGTCAGTCTGAATGGCGTTTCAAACCAGCCTTTAGAAGAAATGGTCAATTCAAATCAAAAACTGGGTTGACCACTTGGTGTTCCATGAAACTGGACTCAATTCATGAAGTGAACTTGCTGAGCAGATAAATTCCATCTGCTGGAGCAAAATTGGTTGCATGCTACATTGAACGCAGAGCCTCTAAGAAATGCATTGGTATATTACCACAGAGCTCTAGTGCTCTGTTTAACAACGTAGTGCTGAATTTTATATAAAATGCTTTTCCTCTATAACATTGTTTGTTCATGATTTAATCATTGGATTGTGAATCAGTGTCTTCAGGTTTGATAAATTGATAAATACATCTGGACTGATATATTTATTTTAAGATAGATCCTACTTCAACAGAAATAGTTTGCAACACCAAATGTAAAAGGGTTTCTTAGTTTGCTCCTCTCAATTATTAATTTAGGCCGGGTGCTCGAATTTTTCTTTCCATTCTGCTGCTAACAAAGTAAGCTAAATTAGATCCAAGCACAACAGAAAAAAGTGAAGTTGCCAATGGCAATAATAGTTTACTAGCTGGCCCAACCCAACAAAGAATTGCTACAACAAATATGGTTCTTACTAATATACCAAGTAGTTGTCCTCTGTTTTGGACATTAATGTGCTGTGCATGTATTTGGATTCTAATATACATTACTAACGCAAGACATCTAGATGCCCTGAATTCCTGTTCCATAGTGTAAGAAAACACAAACTGTGATAGTATTTTAGGTGATCTTAGCTTTTCTTTTAATATAGTACAAAATCCTATTGTATTTAGTGATACCGTCAATACTATGCCTATCCAGAGTGCTATGGAAGAGCACAATTCCACCTTTGTATGGTATGGCTGTATTGTGAATTGAAGTAGCATCGACCATGCTGCGTGACATATAGTGATGGTATAATTTGATTCCATTCTACATGCATTAGTCAGGGTTTTGTCTGACATAAGCTTGAACTGGTGAAACAGTTTGCTACTGATGTTAATATATGTGTTTTTTGGACTTTATAGTATTCCTTAAGAGAGGGGGAAGCCTTGGTGAACCCAATTTTCTCTGGACTCTGTATTTGAGTCGAATCTTCTGGTTGATTTTGTTTGCATTTTCTGCTCTTGCTCAACTTGAACAAGATATCATTTAATTCTTCAAATTGTGGAATAACTTTCTGGGACATGAAGCATAGACCAGTCCTATCACATTTGATTGGTGCCATATGCTTGTTAGGCATGCTTGCGTGTTATTTGCCTTGTTACTGTTTCCTGTCATTTTCTTGGGCTTTCCAACGCAGTTCTTTGGCTATTATTTCCTGTTTATGTCTTTTTTGTGAAGAAAGTCTTTCTCCAAGCGTTGCAGGCATCTATGATGATACCATCACAGACAGTTTGTCACTTGTGGGTTTCAATAAGAGTGCAAGATCAACATAGATCATGCAGGTGGGACTGCACTTGACATGAATTTTTTTAACATGGTGGCATTTAATATGTCTGTGATGATTGTCATCACAGATGTCTGTGACACTCATTTCTTGAATGTAATTGACACTGTAGAATGATGCCCCTATTATGCATGGATAGCAAATTTCCTTTACATGGTTTTCGGTATGTTTTTTATGGTTGTTACCATCAGGTGGTTAAATTGTGAAGATCCCTTGATCAATCATAGCCCATGGACCTGTGAGGAGGACAAATGGCTGTTGCACATTATCCAAGAGATTGGCAATAGGAACTGGTTCAAAATTGCTGAATTTTTAACCACAAGTAGGACCCCATTTCAATGCTTGGCACGATACCAAAGGAGTTTAAATCCTTCCATGCTAAATAGTGAATGGACTGAGGAAGAAGATGCTCTACTTCGTTCTGCTGTCACAATTTTTGGTGCGAGCGATTGGCAGTCTGTAGCTTCCGTCTTAGAACGAAGGACTGGACCCCAATGCTCTAATAGGTTGGTCAGCTATGTTATGAGTTATTTTTTGACTTCACATGTGCATACTAGTTTTCAATGGGAGTATACCACTCAAAATGTAACAACTCACGTTTTATCTCTTGCATACTCTTCATTTACTGATATGCTGGTAGTTGATGGAGGAGCTCACAGCACCTTTCGTCTAGGAAATGTTATAAGCTCCTAAAGACATAAATTAACATTCAATAGCCTTTAATTTTGTTTTGTCTCCCATTTGAACCTCAGCTGAATTAATTAAATTTCTTTTATCTCAGGATTTGTCACTTGGGCAATTGTTTTCCGTTTAATGCTATCCAAATTCCAAAGCATAATGCCAAAAATCTTGACTGTTCTTGTCTGTTTTTTTTTTTTTTTTGGGGGGGTTGAAAGCCGTTCTTGTCTACTTTATTGAAAGAAATATTAATGGTGATTTGTGCATTTCTGAAATTGATAGATTTCATTGCTTGTTTCCTTATTTGAATAATAGGGATGCAGTAATATAGGAATTTGCTGGGGCTCCCAAAATTTCTTAACTAAAACACACACATTTGCAAAGTTGCAAACTATTGAAGAAGATATGTGTCCTTGAATATAAAATGACACTTTCATAAAAATGGTCCTTGACACAAGAAACTTAAACACGTGATTTTTATTACACAACTCTCTGCTTTTATTTTCCATTTGCTAACAGTATCTTCTGACTATTTTCTGCACCCTTCTCCCCTCTTTCTTTCTTCGTATTTTATTTGAGATGAATGCTGCTGCTTTTACATGTTATAGGTTTTATTACGAACTAATAGTTTCTGTAAGCAAAGGATGCAGGTAAAGTTCATATTTGTATTAATATTACATGATTGTTAGTATAGAGGAAAGAATTGGGAATTCTTTCATTTTCTGCTCTAGTTAGTCAAATGATGCAATTTGTTCTAATTGACATGTAGATGGAAGAAGTCCCTCTGTCCTGATAGGAAAGGGAGCTTTACTGTAGAAGAAGATGAGCGCTTAACAGTGGCTGTCCATCTCTTTGGACGGAAATGGAATCAGATAGCTAAATTGTTCCTGGCCGGACCCAAGCTCAATGTAGAGACAGGTAATGTATGTTGAAATGTTGTGCATATTTTGAGACTTGAGACCATTGCTAAAGTTGTTGAGCTTTCAGATACGTCAATAGTTTGGATCCCTCTTTGAAATGGGGTGGATGGACTAAGGAAGAAGATTCAAGATTGAAAAAAGCAATTGCCAAACATGGATTCTGCTGGTCAAAGGTTGCTGCAGATGTGCCTCCAAGAACTGACAGTCAGTGCAGGAAGTATGTCTTCTTATTTGATTTAGTGACAAATATACAATTTTCCATCACCAAAATTTTGGGTTCATGACTTATAATTTTGGCTTTGATCAGGAGATGGCGGGTTCTATTTCCTGACCAAGTTCCTATGCTCCAAGCAGCTAGAAAGATGAAAAAATCCGCTCTTATCAGTAACTTTGTTGATCGAGAGTCTGAACGGCCTTGTCTTTCTCTAAATGATTTTCTTCCCTTGGCAACGTTAGATCCGCCATCTGATCCAGATGTTGTGAACCTCCCACAGAAGCGGAAGAATAAGTCAAGGTATGCTTTTTGATGCGCTTCCCTGAAAAAAATCGCTAATAACATGTCAAGACTCAAGATAACAGCTTTGTTATTGTCTTACTATGGTATGTGGGTGAAGAAGTTGCACGTTTGTTTAATGCTCTTCACACTGTTAGGAATTGGAGATATTGGTCCGTTTGTGATTTCTGATTTCATGAATTTAATGCAGCACTTCTAAGAAAAAGAGGCCCCAAAAACGTACAAAGAAGGCTCAAAGTTGTCTCAAGAAGCCACAGACGGACAAGGTTGAACCTTGTAATGGACATGGTCCTGAACCACATTTGGAGGACAACTCTGTTGATGCAATGCATGATCATTCTCCGCTGGACTCGGTTGTGACGACAACGAATGACCAAGGAGATTTTGTGGACATAATAATATCGATAACCTAACTGAGTCAAATCAAGTTTGGACGGGGTTTAATGAATTGCATGAAGAGAGCCATACTTGTATAACACCTTGCGAGAATCCAGAAGGGACAATGGATCGGCATTGTGAGAATATGAACTCATTAAAACACCATACTGGAAGAAAGTCAAAGCTATCTGCAAGTATATCTGATGGTGCAGCGGTAGGTAGCAAGGTTGCTAGAAATACTACCTCAAAGAAGGAAAGGAAGGAGAAAAAGAAATGCGACAGAATGGTTAAAAGTGTTCAAACAGCAGAAAACCACCTGGTTAAGAATCAAATGCCAAAACCTGGAAGCCTATCTTCCATGCAGATCTTAGAAAGTCAGGATGAAGACAAATAACACTTGCTAGATATCTACACAATCCATCAAACAAACGGTTTAAAAATACCGATCAAATGACTCAGGCTGCCTCGTATGCTAGTTGTTCCATGAAAAAAACCACGGAGATCTTGTCGAGCTGCCAAACAAACACGTGATTGCCAGCCTTTTAGTTTTAAAAAGGGATATGAATTGCCTTCTGAAGAAGTACACAACGGTCATGACAGAAACCAAGAAATGTTGGTTGTGCAAGGCGAGTTAGATGAAGATTGTATTGATGTTACACCTGGGACTTTGTCGGTCCAGAATCATTCTTGCAATTGAAGAACATGTCAGCCATCAAAGCTGATGAAAATCAGAAGACGATGCCGGGGTCAGTTGATGAGCAGACTTTGTTTTTGGATGGGGTGACGGCACCCCAAAACATCAGTGTTGGAGAGGATGTGCCTACCGACGTTACCCTTGCTTCCTTCCTGAAAAGATGAAAAGTAAGGGCAAGGCAACGACAGAGCCAGTTGATGAGCAGGCTATAGTTTTGAATGGTTTGACAGAAATCAAAAGCATGAGTGTTAGAAATGATGGGTCTCTTGACGTTACTCTGGCTTCCTTGCTGAAAAAGAGAGGAAGGAGACAGGGTAGAGAGCAGCTAAATGTGCCAGTCGTCCTTCTCATGATAGGGCTAAATGATAAAAAGTCGATTTGATGCATGCTGGCTGTGATATTGGTTTGTGCCGAGGGTCCATATTGATCAAAGGCTGCCTCATTTTTTTTTTTTTTAAAATCCTCTGTGGAAAGCGGGCTAGAAGCGGGCGGTACATGAGAAGTAGTGGGAAGTCGCGAGCCTGCGATCATGAGGCGTGATGTGATTTGAACATTTTGGCAATTAGGATGGGTTCTCTTTACTGACAATTTTGCTGAGCCAAGCCTGTGTAGAGACAGTTTTCGGCCTGGCACAATGAAGGTTCGTTGTTTGATGTACTTAATGAGCATTTGCGATATACACATATATTGGAATATCTAACGGTATCCAATCAGTGTGATTTCTTGAACTGTCTGATGCGCGAGGTTTGTTGTGTCCAAGATACAAAGAAAAACAGCAGTATTCTCTTCTCTTTTTTTGCCAACAAAAACAGTAATATTCTGTTAACTAACAAGTGGTGAATAATATATTCGAAGTCATTAGGATATGAATTATAACATGCACTTGCTTTATGATATTTATCTTTCCGTCACCATTATCTGAATGTCAGGTTGACACCATTGTTAGCAGGTTGCAATACTAATGATCATTATGATCTGGATAGACAAGAAAAGGCGTTACAATTATTATCTGTATATTTGAGAAATGAGGTTTATTTTTTTAAAATTTATGAAGTCATGAAGAGAATGAGTTTTGACTTTTGAGAAAAGCAAACTCCCACTCCCTTAAAGAAAAATGTTATAAAGAAGTCATTATTCCCGTTTACATGATAAACAATCATACAGAAGCAAATGTTATTATAAAATCATTAATTCTCGTAGAACGTTATAATGTTAACTCAATTTGTAAATCTTATAGATTCTGGAAATTGTGCCACTAACCGATACTATAGTCAAGAAAAAATTATCAATGTAAGAAAATTAAAATACAGAAGTGTCAAATTTTATGCTTCCAAACTAAAATTGTACATTAAAGTCAGCTTTACAAGTTAATTTAACAGTCATGCTTACAGTTGAAATTTTTATACTTAAAAGTTATATTTGCAAGTCAAATTTTTATATTTACAAAATATTTATAAATCTAAGTCGTAATACTACAACTTTTAAAAAATTTCTTCGGTGTTTAGTTTTCACGCCTCACATCTACGTCAATGAGATATTTTATCTTGCACCCGGCTATCCTCTTCTATATATTGGTCAGATTACGAAGTGGG